TATTTTAAAGCTTTTCATTATGCAACAGTCACATAAACTACTATTACCGCATTGCTTACTGCTATTATAAACTATTTCTAAATTATACTATAACACACAGTGTTGTTAAATAATTTTCAGTTGCCAATTTAAAGCATTTTCTAATTGTGATATAAATGTGTGACGGTGTGAACTCCTTACACCGTCATCCCACCTTTTTGTATCGCCTCTCTCCATTCGTACTCTTCTACTCAAATTTAAATTTAAAATTCTGAATTGTTCCATTTTCCTTTGCATTCTGATTTTATTTCTTTCGACGGTCACTCCCTGCTTGACCGCGATAGCGGATACTACTAAATCAAATTGTCTAACTTTTTTATTCATAATAAAAAAAGTATTTTATATTATTATTTATTCAATAAAACCAAATAATAAAATAATATTCAAATATAAATCGGTGAAATGTACGCGCTAAATTAATTACATAATTTCATTGCATTTTGCCCAAAAATCGCCGAAACAAACGCTTCAGAACAAAAAAAATTTCTTTATTTTTATTAAAATAATAACATAGTACGTCCGGCTGTAAAATATAAAAATTAGCCCTATACAAAAGTAAATAAATAGGTAAGTAATTCTAAATCTAACGTCCTAATGACTGAAAGTTTTAAAACTAAATTTAACCAATGGAAAAGTAACAACTTTTGACTTATTTCGATTGATTCATACAATTTTTGATGTTATTAATGTAACTTGCCGTGTTTTTTACCGTGCGTCCATTGACTTACAATTATTATTTTTTGAAAATTATGTGAGGTATTTCGATACATGCATCATGACTGAACTCGTCGAATTACATTGAACATTGTGACAACAATAATATCTGAAAAATTCTTAAAAAGAGTGTAAAACTATTTTGACTTTCAAAATAGTTTTAATTCAATTAAATTGATTTTACAAACTTCGTTAAAAAACAGAAACATGAATACAATTAAAGAAAGTCGAATACAATAAAGTAAGGCCGCACATTAAGGAATAAAATGTGTTTTTTTTATAATGCACAGTATTTATAACTGTGCAAAGCACAATTACCGATGCCAAATTTTATGTTCTTAGAATCAGTGGCTTTCTGTACGTATGTACATGTCACGACAATAATATCTAAATTAAATTACAATAAATAAATAAATTAAAACGTAACAAAACAAATTATAATAAATGTTTATTCAATTCCTATTTTATTTTATTGCTATTATGGTTTAAATTGAGTTACTCATATTTTTAGAACTTAAGGTTTTTGACAAGGCTAAAAATAGTGTCTCCCATTAAAAAATTGTATTTCTTAAAATGAAAACAGTTATAATTCAGTAATTATATAATTAATTAATATTTGCATATATTTGTTTTGTGTAAAGTTATAAACTCCTCAGAACCTTTTACTTTAATTATTTTATAAAACTTCAAAAATCACAATTACCAATAATCATTGCGAACGGGCACTAATTTTAGTTTCGTTTCAATTTACCTGAGGTTTCGTAACAGAATTGACACTTTAAATTATAATAATCATTCCCTACTAAAACTACTTTTGGATGTTGACCTATAAAACTACATAAACGACCATGTATACAGGGTGTTTATGATAACATTTATAATAAATAAAGAAATATTAATCAGTAGTAAATTATCTATCGTTAATCCATAAATGCATTCTGGATTACTATCTTCTTATTAAAACTAAAAAACAATAAATCACTCACACCTCTGGTGTAATAAGGTCACATCTGTAAAATGACAGTTTTTCGGGAGAGAGGTTTAAAGATACTACGTACTACGTAGCAGATAAGATGATAATTTTTTATGCTTAAATAAGATTGAAAATATATATAATTTGTTTCACGTAGTTCATAATATTTTTATAGCTTTTATGTGATAAAAGCATGCTTTTGACGTATGATCACATGTGACTTTGTTTATTTTACCACGTGTACGAAATGTTTTTGCCATCACAAGTACATTTTAAGTAAGTACTTGCATGGGAAAAATTTCAAAGTAGTGACAAATACAATTTCGATTCTTATTATTGCCACATACTCGATGCCTTACTTTCTTAAACACGTATCTTATAAAGAGTGACTAACCTGAATAACCATCTCCATTTTTCTTTTGCCAGTGTGTCAATATGAAGGAAATGTAATGTGAAATTATCCTGCAAAATTTGTGTATACAATGCATTTTTGCATTTCAGTTACTTTGTGCTTTAAGATACGAGTTTGAGAAAGCAAGGCGACGATGTATTACGATCATATATCAGAAGTGCTTTTATCACATGAAAGTTATAAAAATAATGCGAACAAACAAATTATTTACATGTGAAATTTTATAAAATTCTCATGTAAATAAACTCACCTATTTAAGCATAAGAAAGTTATCGACTAATTTCGTGAAACGTGAAAACTTGTCATTTTGCAGACATGGCCTTATTACATCCAGGGTGCGAAATAACCCTTTCATTTTAAAGTTCAAACTTTCGAAAGGTAATTGTAGTAGATTAAACGGCAACATTGTCAAAAGATTGACAAATAATAATTAATAGAATCAGTTGTTCGAAATGAGAATATTCCAGAAAATCTGGTACTACATTCCTGGTCACACAGTCCATCATCGTTCACTTCCGTTGACTGCACTGGCGCCATGGTGACTTAAAGAAAAGAAATAAAGTTACACTTAGACATACACGCTCACATTTTTGATTGCTCAAACTATTTCCATTCACAGTGAGTCCCGGCTGCGTATATGGCTTCCCGTATACAGTACGTCCCCCAAGAGAGACGAGTTCAGTACGCTTTTCTAAGGGTCTAAACAACTGAAATACCGTATACAGTATGTTCCCTCGAAGTGACGAATTAGATACGCCTTTCCAGCTACCACATAACTTTAAGCGATTGAAAAACCGTATTTGGTAAGTCCATTAGGGACGAATTAGGGACGGGTTTTCGTAAGAAACACTCGTAAAAAAGCGTCTCTGATTCGTCACGTCGAGTAATTCGAGAATCAAAAACTCAGAGGTTAATAGTTCATAGTTCAAACGAGATTGCCTCTTATTGTTTTAAGTAAACAGTGCAAAACGCAAATAATAAACACGGAAGCTATCTCTCTCCGTCTCACCTACACTACCAATAAACAAAATTAGTTGCATGTTTGGCGCTATTTGCATGTTTCTAAATAGGCCAGAATAATAATATCAATAACAACTGATTTCGCGCGAGTGCAGTGTCACAGTTCATTTCGATCTTGCATGTATTTTTACGTAATTCACGGCATAATTTCTAATTAATATCGTTTGTGTTTCAGTTAAGATTATTTAAAATGGATGAAGAACGATTTACATCTCTAGTTAGTAAACTTGCGACTGATTTTCAATTATTGAAGTATGAAGGAACGAATAACCAGAATTTCAAAGTGTATAGTAGACACCATCACTTACTTAATTTCTATAGTATATTTTGTAATAGATAACATTTAATGGATAACATTTAATTTTTGTCTTCGAAAAATTCTTTCAGACTGTAATAGCACTTGTTTTTTTCCTAATAAATTTGTCTTGTATTTGATAAAAACTGTTTAAATATAGTGTAGATATGATAATATTGATAATGATTAATTTTGTAATTGTATTCCTCTTAACTATTACTACTTATTTATTAAAAATACAAAAATTCTGTATTATTGCAGATATTTTGTTTCAGTAATTAGACGTGACGAATCAGAGACGCTTTCTTACGAGCGTTTCTTACGAAAAGCCGTACCAAATTCATCCCCTAGTGGACGTACTAAATATGGATGGGTTTTTAATGTCTTAAACTTATGCGGTAGATGGAAAGGCGTATCTAATTCGTCGTTTTGAGGGTACGGTATTTCAGTTGTTTAGCCCCTTAGAAAAGCGTACCTACCTCGTCTCTCCTTGGGGGACGTACTGTATACGGAAAGCCATATACGCGTCCCGGCTTGCTATTGAGCTTTCATTTCTGTTAAAGTCTCGCTTAGAGTGCTGTGTCGCTATAAAGTCCAATTTAACCCGTTCATGGACTAACGACTTTTACCGCAAAATTAAACATCAGAATATGCTAGTACCTACAGGGTACCCTGTTTCGTTATATGGATCTCAAAAAACCAACTACGATCTTTATAGTGAGGTTTCCAAGTGCTTTCTGTGGAGTTGCAGCCTACTGCTTCTTCATAGAAAAGTATCAACAACGTATTAACAAAATTTTATGATTTACATTGAACATTTTGTATTGAATCAATATATGCACTACGGTATAAAGTGGGGACATTTTTGGTGTGGTACTATTTAAGTATTCACCGTGAACAGGTTAATTTGCTTTTCATATGTTTGACATTTAATAAGCAGGACTACAAAGGTTCGTGTCTACGAAACAGTAATTGGCCCAATCTTAATGTATAGGTGTGAAACATGGACACCAACGCTGAAGGAAGAACATGAATTATTAATAGTGGCAGAACGGAAGATACTTCTAAATATTCTGGGACCAATCATAGGAGAATTTGGTAAATGGAGGACCAGATTCTATAGAGAGATAGAAGAACTAGTGTCTGAGCCGAACATAATCGGTGAAATAAAATCTGCTCGACTTCGCTGGCTAGGACATGTGCAAAGAATGCGAGAGAATGGAGCTGCCAAAAGAGCGATTTAAGACAACCTATGGGTCATCATCCAGTGCGCCGTCTAAGATATCGCTGGAAGGATGAAGTAACCAAAGACCTAAAGGAACTGAAAGTGTCCGAATGGTCGGAATTGGCACAAGACCGACAGAAATGGCGTACTTTGGCGTCAGAGGCCAGGATCCACTTCGAGTCACTGAGCCATTGAAGTAAGTAGGTACGTATGTTTGATACCATTTTAAAGATCCTCGTACTGTTACGCATTAACAACAAAAGCACCGCGTCGGTATCGTTTTTTTACTATAGGTACATACCTAATTAACGTAATGGGCCAAAAGTAACTTGTTTGTTTTTAAAAGGTAAATGTGTTTCTATTTATTATAGTCGATATTGCAGTTGGGATAGAGGGATACGCAGTCTTTTTGTTCTTGGCCTTCTCTGGCAGCGTTCACGTACACGTAGTACCGGATAGCTAACTTGCTGTCAGCTGCTGGCAGGAGTTCGCTCGAATCTCTGTTAAAATAGTAGATTATAGTTATCAACAAACCGATACTCTGATTTTGTGATTTTATTTATACAATAACAATATAATATCCTGTATACTTAAGGAATTATTATTGGATTTGGATCTTCGTCATATTGCGAGGTTGTAAAGAACTCATTTCTTACAATAGAAAGTGTCAGCCGTTACAATCTAAATGCACCACCACCAAGTTGTCTGCAGATACTAAAATATATTTACTTGCTAAGCTCATTGGAGACTAGATTGCTATAGGGTGTATGCCTGAACGGATCCTTGTACAAGGCACAGACTGCACGTTCCCTGCAGCCCAGATCTGAGGCACCTATAGAGACTAGGATCTTGTCAACCTTGTCCAGGAGCGCTCCGTAGAATTTATCTGAGGCTTTTGTTTCCTGGAACATAAAATATGAATGTTAATTTTTTAAGATTGACTTTTATTGACGACCGCAGACTTAGAAGCATAGTGCGCGTCAAGTGCACGATCAACTTTTAAGATAGTGTGGGACATTTTCGAATTGGTGGTTCAAATTGTTTATACTTGTATAGTCTTGGGTGCTCAGTGGATACATCAGACAGTTTATAGTAAGTTTGGTATAAACAACAGAAATGAATGTGTTGAAAGATTTAAAAATTACTAGCAGGGCTCCGTCACTCGCTCAAGGTTACGCGATATGTGCCTACCGCTGAGTGTACCGACGTCGGCACAAACACTCATACAAGTCTTTTATTTATGAGCATTTGGCTCCGCATGACTGCATAAGAATACTCTTAACGCGTGCTTAGGTTCCTTTTCCTCGTAGTGAGTGCCTGGTGTCACCAGTCAGATTTAGTAGGCTATTACAGCGTAGGTATTTTTGATTCTACTTCACTTATTTAACTGCCTCCGTGGCCGAACGGTTACCATGCCGGACTGCCACTCAGAGGTCCCAGGTTCGATTCCCGGGCCGGGAGAAATGTTTGTATGGCTTACATTTATTTCTCTCGTGAGTTTGGGTGTAATTTGTGGTTGTCTATGTGTGTGTCCATGGCACCCGCGACACAGGGTTTCCCTAGTGCGGGGCTATGTTGAGTGTGTACGTTATTTATTTATTATTCTATACGAGAGGCATGGATCTGTTAAGTAGTAACTATTAAATAATCTGTGGTACTAGGTACGTTAATCAGATGAGATTTTATCATAAAGCTTTAACTCACCGGATCCTGAGCAGCCAATATCTGCTGCTGTTGCTTTACCAACTCAGTCTCGGTCTGGACACGATTGGCTTCATTTAGTTTTGCCGCAGATACTCGGAGTAACTCATCTCTGACTGCAGAGGGAGGGGCTCGCGCTGCCAGAGCCGCTGCTCGGATCTGTAAATCGATTTTTTTAAAGACTATAAGTGAACAAAAACTTTTGTAGATTTCTCACAGAATGGCGTTACGGCAAAAAGTCGTTAAAAATCAAAAACAAGGTCTTCTTGATCGTACCGTAGCTAGGTTAGGAGAGCGTCAGACACGGTATGCTGAAGGCGCTCGTTCAAATCTAGCCGGATCGAATGAATTTTTCTTATTGTTCGATCTTTGTATTAATAATAATAACAAACTAGTGGAGTAATTACACAAAAAAATTAATATCACGGTAGTAAAACATTGTGGGATTCAATAAACTTAATATTATTTATAAGCTGTCAGGTAAATATTCCTGGTTCGAATTAAGTCAGTAAGGATTTTATATAGACGCACCGAAGCGACCTGATAGTAATTTAGACTACGTAGGTCCTTATAGCTCAGAATGATAAAGAACTTACCAATGCTTCTTTTTCGGCTTGCATGGGATCTTTTGGCGTATTTTTCTTGTTTCGATTATAAGGATTTGGAGGTCCAACGGGTCTGTAACATTAGAATATAAATACGAGGTAAATAAATATGCAAAGTAATGAAATTCATTTTCCTAGTCAGAGACAGTAGTGCTCAGAAGGTAAAGTTCGTTTTTAAAATTGATTCTCGTGAGAACTGAGATAAAACCCTCTATGTTCCACTGACCCTTTCACCCGTATCGTAATCGACCAGAGCTGTCTGTCTGTCAAACCATGGTCAAACCTGCGTTCGGTTTTACGATTTAATATTATAGAAAGCTTACGGAACAATAAATATGGGAAGTGATTAGTGGGCGCCACGTGTGCCAACCATAGATATAGAAAAAAGGGTAGATTTGGTACGGGGGCGTGGTTCGTGTCGTGGTTCTACTAGTACCCCGCCGCCGCAACCGTGAGCAACCGTCACCACTACAGGCGTAAAACGCGCCGTGAAATGTGCTTCTAATTTTACATACTTAACTATTACATTCTACAGATGCCGCGGTCCCGCGGCAGACGAGTGTGAAAACCGCTCAGTGAGGTCTTATTGTAACGAAAAATGAGTTTCAGTGCCTTCTAACGTGTAATAGTTTCTATTATATACTAGTAGCATTTTTACTAAAAGGCCACTTGATGGTGAATGGCTGAACGAGGATGAAAAAATACTGAAATATTGTAATATAACTCTTACTCAAGTGACTGTAAGTTTAATTTTAAAATTGTGTTATGTCGTTTTCACGTTTTAAGTTCTACACAATCAAAATCTTTAAGTTATGGTATGGTAGTAGATAATAGAGCGTAAAGTTTGAATTGCTAAAAAGTGGTGACATCGGTACCCGATGTTACATAGCATCATTACATATCTCCCCTTTTTTTCTATATCTATGGTGCCAACAGTGCGCAGAGTACCACATAATTGAGCTCAGGCCATTTTCGCTTTGTACGTTATGGTCGCGTCAGTTATCTCGCGCAAAACCTTGAAAACCGTAGAAAAATGCCTTATTTTCCTACTTTGACGTGCAAAAGTTATAGTGGCACCTGTAATATTATCCACCGTGGTATTTCGTATCATCGTTAAGTCTTATTTTATTTAATTTTAATACATTTTCGTTTAATTTTAATACATCGTTAAGTCTTATTTTATTTAATTTTATTGTAATAAATTTTTTGTTACAAGAAACGGAAGTAAACCTTATACTGCTACAATATGGCCGCTTCTTTTTTGGAGAACTAAGCAAACATCTCGAGTTCGTCGTGGTTCAGCTATTGACCGCTAGATGGCAGCACATTGATTGAAATTTCACTATAAAATGTCGTAACTTTCAATAATAGATATTGCACTGTCAATGATATGCCAATGGAGTAAAGTTATAGGTATATATATTAACGGTCCAGAATTTGTTCCGTCTTTTTAAATTAGAAACTTCGACTAATCATTATAAGGATTTCACAGTGATTAAAATAATGAATTTATGAGTTTTGGCGACAGCGGTTCTCATAGTAATTAGGGTTTAAGGTATTTCCATTGATTTTTCTTCCGTGCAAAAACCTAGTGAACTCTGATTCTAGGCAAACGACTTCTTCTTCATTATTTGTACGCAAAGATACCATCCGTGTTGATCGTAAATACGGCTCGTATATTCCTATTAAGTATTTGTTTAAAGTTCATTATTTGTTTTATATTAAAATTATTTACCTGCCGGCGTTTCCAATTGCAACTTTATGGGGTACAGGTTGTTGCGCTAGGTTTGGCATAACATTGCTTGCGTATTCACCAAGATTCATTGATGTCCCTGGGAAAAAGAATGTCTACTTTAATATAAGGAATAATAACACTTAAAAGTCTACTTTAAAGTAGACTATTAAAGAGGTATCGTGTACAGCATGGATTATGTTAAACCTCATAAATATCATCAATCGAGAGTATAATAGATAATTTTCATAGATAGAAATCTTCCTTAGCCCTTAGCCTTTTTTATAGAAGCTTGCTAAATAAAATGTTATCTTACACTAAACTCCTTGATATTCATCAGAAATGATCTAGAAACTTTATATTAGGGGTAGTGTGGTTTGTCAGTACCTTATCAAGTTGTACAGGGTTTTTGTAAACAATAGTTATTTAATAAGCAAGGCTGCAAAGTTCTTCTTTGTTGCGATTGCTTGTATTGATACCTAAGCAAGCGAAGGATCTTAAGATCAAAAACAGAATCTTGAGAGTAGCGAGGGTTTCAAGGTACGAAATGCAAAACAACTTTGCGAAACTCACAACTTTTCACCTGACTATAGCGCGGAAAATGGTAGATGAAAGAAAAACATTTGAACTCTAACAAATCAGTTATAATAAAGAAAATTAATTATCGTTGTCAATTTAATGTGTTGACAGAATAAGAATAAAATATACCAACGTTATGTTATTACGTTTATGTTATATAAATAATGTACGACCTATCGCGTAGTTGAACATGTCATTATATTTTTTTCTTCGAAAGAAAAAGTGGTGCTTCTACCACAGTCCATCGTCAAGTTCGAATTTCAAGAACCTTTTCCACGCTGGCGTGGAGAAAACGCCTTTGCGCGCAAATTTCTAATAAGAAAAAGACTTTCTAGTTCGGTGAGTGAGTCAAAAAGTTATTGTTTATGATGTTAGTAATATAGTCCTTTGAGTTTGTTTTTACAAATAACCCTATATGATTTCAAAATTACATGAGTTCATTAATTCGTGAATTTTCATAAACCTATCTTTATGCAAAACTTTCAAGTCATTAAAACATTTTGTACATATGATGAAAAAGCAGGCTAGGAAAGTTAATAAATTTCTTAGAAAGTTGTAGTTGGATGGCTAACTATCAAAGAACAAATAACCATATTTATGTAAATAACATCGAGTACCTATATAGCCAGAAATAGAGACGAAATAAGGGCCACCCATCACTGGCAACTCATCAGGTAAATTGGCCTTACATCACTTTTAAATATCAACTTTCTTTTGCGCTGAAATAACAAATTAGAAAACTGAAAACTATTTCAGTTTTCTAATTTGTTATTTCAGCGAACTAACAGCGCCAACAACTGACCTGTGTGTACGTTTCCATATATTCCAAAAATATTTTGTATTTATTGTAATAAAGGTAATATCTCTAACAATGGGGGCTGTTCCATTCCGTGATGTGGGAAAAACAGCAAAACATCTAATTACAAAACAAACAGAATCACATTTCATCGGTAATTAAATTATAAAAATGTAATTTTGCAATTTTGGCCCATTATAGCAAAGCTTAAGTTAATATGGTCGATTTGAAGTGAAACAATTGACAACATCCGTCCATTGTTTCGAATTCGGGCTGGCCAATTGGAGCGCAGTTGTCACAGTAATGTTTTGGCAGAATAGTTTTCAAATTAATTAAATGACATTTCGTTCTATTTCTGGTTATATACTCGATGGTAAATAAACGTCAAATTACAAATTTCCTAACAGGCCTGCCGCACGGCTAGGGACATTAAATACTTACCTGGTGGCATCCCGAGACCCCAAGAGTTAATGTCATTGACGTCGTTTTCGTTGGGTTTGAAGTTCGCTATCGCGTTGCGATGTATACCCGATGCTAAATATCTGTAAGATTTAAAACAAAAAATGTATATATTTACAGTAAATGTGATTTTCCTTTTTTCTTGGTTTTGGTACTTTAAATAAAATTAAATTAAATAAAAAAATAATAAAATTTGATATCGTATATATGTACCAAATAATCAGAACTGTGTAAGAAGATATTTAGGCCAGTGTCTCTACTATGATTTACACAGTTATCGCTAGTGACCGCGTAAAATGTTTGTATACAAAATGTTCTTTCTTCTTGTCACAGCTAGGGGCGCTGTATAATTTGCCATGCAAAATTGTGAAGTAATTGACACGGTCGCTAGCGACAACTGTCGCAGTAATCTCGTGGTAGAGGCACAGAACTAATTTAGAGCTGTTTGCTTCTAACTTGGTTCTACTGGGAAAAGAACCCAATAATTTAAAGCTCATAGTGCCAACCTCTGCGTCATCAATATTGTTAACTTGAATCTTTTATAAAAAAAAATATAATTTAATCTTTATTATACTTAAAAAAAAATGGCATCCAAATATAAAGCAATCATATACTTTAGTATCCTTTAAAGTAATATTATAGAAAAAAAAATCATGAGGGTTACGTAACTTTTGCTGATAGCGCAAAATTTTATAAATGAAATGTTTTAACTTACGTTTAGGATAAGAATGACTTTACATAAAAAGATTGTGAAATGTACTAATGTATTTGCATGTCTGCTAAATTCATAAACCTCGTAATCTCCATTGAACGATTAAACTGAACTTTTGAGTAGGTACCTACTGTACCTACATACAAAAAACAGAATTACTAGAAATAATGGTATGACAATCCTTGATTATACCGTTATTTTATGACTAAAAATTAGTCAACAAATTTTAGTTTAAGTTTTTAATTGCCAATATTGCGCCTGAAGATTAAAAATTTAATTCAAAAATATTTAATTATAGTATAAATATTAAGTTCAAATTTAGTCGACGATGTGCATAATTACTTAAAGCAAATGATTTGACTTTTACTTAAAGGTTTCTTTAGGTGTTGGAAACTCACTCATTGCCAAGTCCAGGACCGGATAGCTCCCAATCTTGAGGGTAGTGTTCAAACGATGGGGAGGAGTGGGAAGGGTGTGACGAATGCGATACGTGTACTGCGTGCGAAGGCGGTGGTCCAGCTGCGTGTGGTCGAACCACAATGTTGGGGTGATGAAGATCTGGTCCATGGGGATTCTGGAAAGAATAATTTTTTAAATTTCAAATTGTACGTTTATTGTATTTTAAAATACTATAGGTAGAAACAGGTGATGTTTGTGTTTTATAGCTCTGAGTGGCACTGCACCTGTTATGGACAGGCGTTTCGCTTAACATCACGCGCACGACTTGTTCGTCCCGTAACTTGGTATCATATATATAGAAAGAAAAAGATATAAACGGATCACTTTCATGGATCTTTGTCATCCAAATATACAACTTTCTTTAGTGAATCATAAGAGAATCACCACACCTATCGATACGGAATCGCGCTAAGCCGATCAGAAAAACCTTTATGTAGATGTAATAAAAGCGAAAAAGACGTTTGGGCATTTCGTGACGTCGTGACGGTTCGAACGGAAACTAAACACGCGACGCCTATTTTGCTCCTATTGCATGGACAGAAAGGTTGAGCGCCTCGAGCCGATTCCTCGTAAATAAGTGTGATGACATCTTTAGGTATCGGTCTATTATATATGCTGGGGTTCTGCTCTCGTTCTTCGTCCGGCATGCGTCCGAAACAATTATACTGGCTGGTGAAATTACGGGCACATGGGACTTGTTAACTTGTGTCTCAGTGTGGCTGCGCAGTGGCAGTGACTCTCAGATCTTTGTGATTTAAAGCTCTCAGTGGCACCGTAATTGACAGGCGTGTCGCTTACCATCAGGCGCATGACTTGTTCGTGCCGTCACTTGGTATTATAAAAAAGAACTGTCAAACCAGAAATAGTACCTTTTTGAAAATTTGTTACATAATATAAGCTGCAAATCTACAGAGCCAAAGTTCAATGAAAACTGTCCTAAATGATAGAAAAAAGAAAGTATTCATTTTACAATAAATATAAATATTAGACAACATCACATACGTTGCTCTGATCCTAAAGTAAATAACTAAAGCACTTGTGTTATGGAAATGGGAAACAACGACGGTACCACAAACACCCAGACCCGAGACAATATAGAATAGTTAGTTTTGCAAGAAACTTATGCAAGATTTGGCATCCCAGAAGTTGCAAGAACAGACTGCGGGACACAGTTTAAGAGCAAATTCCAGGAATTTGCCAATACTTATCATTTTGATCATATAACAAGCAGTCCATACTATTCACAAAGCAATGGATGTGCTGAAGCCGAGTTCTGTTAAAAAAGAATTATGATATATACTTGGCTTTACTTTCATACAGAAATACGCCCATGGAATGTGGCTATAGCCCTAATGAGTTATTGTTCAATAGAAAGTGTAGGGAGACTGTACCAATGCATCCAGATAAATTAAAAGTTAACACTAATATTCACAAAGACTTTATTTCCAAAAAGAATGTCAATAGAAATAAAATGGCAAAGTATTATAATAATAAACACAGAGAAGTTCAATTGAGTGATTTAAATACAGGAGATAGAGTCTGGATTATAGATTTAAGGAGGTACGGTGTAATTGAAAGAAAGGCAAAGGAATTGAGGTCATACTTTGTAAGGTCAGAGGGAACAATTTATCGAAGGAATAGATGGCATTTGATTCCTGCACCTTTCTGTAGTGATCCTGCACAATCTTCTTTTGAAGAAGAAGTTATAGTAACAGAAAGTAATAAAGGAAAATACCAAATAATTGTTCCAATGGTTATCAGGAGAAGAATAGAAATAGCTTAGAAAATGAAAAAGATTTTGGAGGGCAAAATAATACTGAGGTAATTCATGAAAGTATGGAAAAGCCTCTAAATAGTCATAGATATTCAAGTAGAATAAGAACTAAACCGAGTTGTTGTAAAGATTATGTTATGGGTTAGTGAATAAGAATTATTTGATTGTTAGTTGAGAAATGATAGAGAAAGGATGTTGTGTTAGGAAATAAGAACTATTTGTTTGTTAGTGATTAACTGCAGAGAAAGGATGTTGTAGTAGGGACATCCCTATGACGTCTGTCATATTGACAGCCCGCGTAAGATAGACTCTCTCTTTTCTTGTACTTGTACGGAGCTGATCGAAATAAAGATTAGAAGACTTAAGTGGAGTTTTACTTAATTAACTATAACAGAACAATTTTCTTTACTGACCCGGCCGGGGATCAAAGTCGGGACCTCAGAGATGGCAACACCATGACAACCGGTGTGCAAGCCACTTGACCACGGAGGCCGTCAACAATACGAATAAAATATAATTCTTTACCTTATGATGATGAGTTATCAAATGATGATGATGGTGGAATTTCGTTGTGTGATAATTCTGATGGTACCACGAGCACAATTTGAATATATGACTTAGTGCTGGGAAAATGAATAAAAGTAACTTCAGGAACATTTTCTTGGCTGTTGTCACTCCTAGTATTACTGGTAGTACAAATATTAGCTTCAAAGCGATCAGTTTGATCACTAGTATGATCGCTAAAGCTGCCATTATGAGTTTTTTTTTAATGTACTTCTCTGTAATGTAAACAAAATACATAATTAATACAAATGAAAAACAAAGTCATGGTAGGTATGCGCGAAAAGTATGAACAACAGTTTTCATTCCATATTGTTGGGGTAACAAACCTTTTTATCTCACAACCTGTAGTTAATGTACTGTATGGGTAATGTACTTTATATTTATTTATTAATGTGACAAATAAACAAAGATAAACAAACGACATATTTTGAGATAATTTGCTTTGTAAATTGACAGAAATCGTGAATCTAAGTAATTTGACTTTACCATGATTTTCGTTAGATTTTGTGTTGTAAAGGATTTTTTGGCTGTTTTTATAGTAACTGTATATAAAAACAGCTTGTTTAGCAGTTTGTCAATGTTGATTTATAATAATTATTGTTGTTAAAATGTATACCCCTTGAAATATAATCATGAATACTTACTAATCTTTTTGAAGAACAGTCTCCCTTCTCCAACGTCCTTTGGTTCCAGATCAATATGAACTAAGGCCCCAGTCTTGGTGAGGGCTCGTGGGGAAACCCTGAGTGTGGCTCCATTGAAGAAGATCTCGGGCAAGGTCAACTTCATGTCATGAGTAACGAGAAACTTCACTCCTTTGTCGTAGAGGGCGTCTGTTACTTCTTCCAGCGGGGTTTCTGAAACACAATAAATAGGTGGATAGATAGATGAAACTGGATTGCGTAAATATCTTCTGACACTGAGTAAGAATAAGTACGATTTCGTCCAGTGAAGTGCGTGAGAACTGCCACTTTACCTATTTCTGCCGTCAAGCAGTAATGTCACCATTACTGTGTTCCGGTTTTGAAGGGTAAGGGTGCTGGATAAATTACAGGCACATGGGACTTGTCAACTTATGTCTCAGGGTGACGGGCGCAGTGGCAGTGCCCCTCAGATCTTTGCGATTTAAGGCTCTGAGTGGCACTGCAACTCTACGTTTTAAATAAAGACTACAGGAAGTAAAAAAAACATGTAAAGTAAAGGCGTAAAGACTGTAACAAAACAATGATATAAATATAGGTACAATGACGTAAAACACTCCCTTCTTAAATTATAATACTTTACAAGCAGTTAGGTTACATGATTTAAATAGTCAGAATTTTATGTCAAGTTAGTACGTGTGCTTGTTTCGGAAATTTAGTACAGCGTGGCGATGGAAAGAAGAAAAGTAAGTGACGAAGAAGAAAGGGAATTTAAAGAACGATTCAAAATTTCAAAGTAGGTGGCCAGGAACCCGAGAAAAGGGTGATAAAAAGGTGGAATGACGGTGAAAGAGGCCGTATCACAAGTTTCCACCTACGATACGGCCTCTTTAGCTAGCTCTAACTCAATAGCAGTAGAGCTGCTTGTGAAAGACTTCGTCCAGGGAAGTACCTTACCTATTTCTGCCGCCAAACATTAATTGAGAATTACTGTTTCGGTTTTGAAGGGTGCTGGTGAAATTACAGGGACATGGGACTAGACAAGTTATGTTTCAGGGTCACGGGCGCAGAGGTAGTGCCCCTCAGATATTTGCGATTAAGTCCACTACACGTCCGATTTTTCCCCTATTTATAATATTATCTATATTTATAATTATATATCTATAATTCCCCAAATTGGCAACACTGCAGTTTGTTCAGAAAAAGTCTGACGAAAGAACCGGATGACTATCGGACGTGTGTTGAGTGAATCCGATCCGATAGTCGGATCCGACCATCAGACACAAGATCGGACGTGTATTCTCTACAGCTCTGAGGCATGACTTGTTCACCCCGTCACTTTTTATAAAATTGATCCTACCGGCAATTTTTTTTGCACATATATACTCAACATAGCCCCGCACTAGGCAAACCCTATGTCGCGGGTACCATGGACACACGCATGGATAACCACAAATTACACCCGAACTCACGAGAGAAATAAATGTACGCCATACAAATATTCCTCCCGGCCCGGGAATCGAACCTGGGACCTCGGCGTGGCAGTTCGGTATGGTAACCGTTCAGCCACGGAGGCAGTTAATTAATTGTATTCGTCGGGATCTCCTTCACACTACCTCCTACACTCTGATGATGTTACGCGTTTGGCAAGTAAATCCATTTACTCTAGTTTTGAATGCCCCAAATTGTACCTTTCGGGAAACACAAACCCCATCAGTGAATTCCATTACTTTGACGTAGATACGCACCAGGAAGGACAAAGCAATGCGCTTCGTCCAAATGGGTGGTAAGTCAATAATATAAGGAAGGATCGTTCCGGACTTTCTAGTAAACCAACGGGGAGGAACGGTAAGGGTGGAATTAAATTGAAGTTCCTGCGCTCTGTTGTTCAAAACCGGTTTAAACTGTTGGGACACCGACGTCGTTAAGAAAGTTAGAAAATCACTCGAGTAATTTTCTAATATTTAACAAAAAAGATATTCCCATCAGTCTTCAATTCACTATAATATTCTCAACATATAACATATGTAAGTTAAATATAAAGAAAATGCGGAAACGTATTGACATGTATTACTTAATAAGTTCCCATAGATTAGTAACACGCGTACAAACAATTAACAACAAACAACAAAAAACAATTAATTTAAACAAGAGAAATTGCGACATTTCTTACATTAATGTTCATGAGAAGAGATTTATTAATAAAGAAAATAAAAAACGCGAGAAAATGAGGAAATATCGAATGACAAAAAAAATATACGCTACGATGTTATTGTGACATTTACATATATTATTTGTAGGCGGCTGACTGTAGTTGGACAAAGCCAGACGTTGGCTTTATATTTATTATGCAGCATCTTATGCTTGTTTTAAAAGTTAGGCTTTTTCAATTTGACCAAGATTTGTAGTTTTATTTAATGTCACGGTGTTTTACTGCCATGATATTCAATATTTTTTTGTTATAATTACTAATATGAAGACCGAATACTAATAAAAATTCGGATCTAAGGAATTTTTAAAGGAAGGTTTTACTGTATCTATCTAGGTAACGAGATTTCACACATTCTAGGTATGTTTGCAGTATCTCCCTTTAAATCAAAAAGCCACTAGGGATGGCAAAGTTTTACAAATAATTAATTACTGGTCATTTTTATGTCATTTTAGGTGATTTGAAACTTCTGTTGAATAATATTATAAAGAAGACTTCAAGATTTAGTATTATCCATAATCTAGTTGAATTTAAGGGGAAAATATTGAAATTGTGGTAACTGTGAAAGAGTCTGACATGAAAACCCTAAAATCATATGTTTTTGTTTGTTGACATTTATTCTACATCGAATTTGGCGAGAGTATAGAGTAGTTATTTTACAAAAAAAGTGGTCATTATAGTAAAACATCGTGACATTCAATAAACTTAAAAATTATAATTATCAAAGCGACATCTCTTGTCAGCTACTGGTAGTTCTAAAGGTACCAGGCTGAGTGAAGAAATAGATTTCTCAGAGATGGCGTTACGGAAAAAAGTCTTTAAAAACCAAAAGCAAAGATCTTCAGATCAGTTGGGAGAGTGTCTAGCACGGATTGCATGAAGGCGTTGATTCGAATCCAACCGGATCGAAGGAATTTTTCTTACTGTTCGATCTTTGTATTAATAATATAACAAACTAGTAGAATAATTTCACAAAAAACAAGTTTTGTTTTGTTTTGTTTAATTTTGATTTCGTTGGACAGCCATTGCAATAATAGATAATTGTCAATAAAGAAGACTGCTTTATTTAACTTTATTGTTATTTCATTAGAATTTAAGAAGATTTTTTGATAGATGGTCAAAAAAGCCTGGTTTTACATAAAATAAAAATAAAATAATAAAAATTCTGTATCTTTATTATTCGTAATGATAATCTAATCCTGTGGGTATGTTGGATAAGTTCTGTGAGCTTACTCGCCCTATTGTATAAATAAATAAAAAAATATCGTATAATATTACGACACAAAATCCTGGAAAATGTAAGCGTCTGACCTTTTTACCCAAATGTGCGGCTAAACTGCCTGGTCTATCCGGCTATTAGGTTCTAAGACCTGGCAACCCTAGCTGTAGTAGTAGCTTACTGAATGCGACGCACAAATTTTTAATATAATTATTACAGAAAGATAGTTTATGAATAGTTTCATTTCCTAGTCGAAGATGAGTGAAAACTTTGTGGATACCTGTTCCTAACTATTCTACTGCAAAGTTCAAACTTGTTTTTATAATATCAAGTGATGGGACGAACATATCATGCGTCTGGTAGTAAGCGACAGTTGCAGCCACCCAGAGCTGTAAATCGCAAAGATCTTAGGGGCACCGCCTTTGCCCCCGTCACCCTGAGACATAAGTTGACAAGTCCCATGTGCCTGTAATTTCAACAGCACTCTTACCCTTCCAAACCAGAATGCAGTAATGAGAGCATTACTGCTTGGTGGCAGAAATAGGTAAGGTGGCAGTACTTGCCTAGATGAACTCTTTCACAAGCTACTAAACTTCAAATAAAATGGTAGTATAGTACTCGTTAACGTGGTTGCATATCTTGATTCAACAACGTTATTTTCTAAAACCAATTTTTAACACTTCTATATCTATAAAATACTGTAACTCCTTTTATAAATAAAGCTCATAACACGACTACGCAAACAACTAAAAAGAGGATATCAAGTTCTAGAATCCTACTTGTGCAATTTTATGCGTCATGGATTAGTTTATAGTTCCATAGTTGAAGTAAAATTAAATTAAGATTTTTAATTTGATGTCCATATCATTGGGGTTTCAAGACTTAAAAGGATGAATTGGTACTCAGCGGTCGACATATTGGTTTTTTGGCACAAAATGTAACTTAAGACACTCCGGACATAAATTAGATTTAATGATACCTCCTTCAATAATGTCGAACTAGCCGCTGTGTAATTAACGAAATAAACAGTACTACATACAAAGTCACACACTTGAATAACATTACCTTCCTTCCAGGGCAAGGGTTAAAATAAAACGTATTTGATCAAACGCCAAAAGTGTTTTTATCACATACCTATAAGTCATAAAAATAACATGAACTACATGAAACAAGTAAGATACTCGCGTATAACGTATTTGTGTTTTTAAACAAACCAACGTTTCGTCTGTAAAGGGTCTGAAACGTTAGTTTGTTTGAAAAAAACAAATATATCCGATGTACATTAGACAGATGTACAATATTCACATATCGTCGACGATAGTGCAATTACGCGTAAATAGCATTTGATTATGAGTCTCCATCTCGGAAATTTAGTCGCCAAATCACATCCGCGTAAATGTCGTGCAAACAAATTAGCGTGATTTACGGGAATCTATTGTTATCAGTCCGTAGACAACATAAATTAACGCTTACTGTGAAAAAATGAAAGTCGTAGCCATTGAAATAACAAAGCAATAACGTTAAATCCCTCTCCTTTGAAATTTGGTTTTTGTGCAGATATGAGCTTTTTACCAATACTACAAACGCAGATTTGCTCAATCCCCGACGACATGTTTATTGTGAGTTTATTTTTTTAATTTTATATTAGATCTTATAATTTGAACAATTTATGAAAATATGAAAGTTTATTGTGTTGACAACACAGACAAAATCACATAGGTTGCCCTGATCCCAAAGAAAGTAGCTAAAGCACTTGTGTTATGGAAATCGGAAACAACGCCGGTACCA